AGGAAGGAAGTGGCGGAAGGAAGGAAGGAAGTGGCGGAAGGAAGGAAGGAAGGAAGTGGCGGAAGGAAGGAAGGAAGTGGCGCAAGGAAGGAAGGAAGGAAGGAAGGAAGGAAGGAAGGAAGGAAGGAAGGAAGGAAGGAAGGAAGGAAGGAAGGAAGGAAGGAAGGGAAAATTAATTACACCCTTGGAATATAGGAACATCAAATGTATCCTAGGGAAAATGAGGTTTAAATGCTGTTTTTACACCACAATGTGTTCAGAGTTGCCCATAGCACATGGTTCACAGCATGTGGGTTCTCCCACAGGTGCTGTCAGCAAGGCCAGTGTGCGCAATGGGGTCATCCAGGCTGGTCCACTGTTCTCACCTCATCAAGCATGAGCAGATTAGGCAGACTGCTGCAGATCCATACTCCAGGCATTACTCCCTGTGCTTCCTGTGCCAGGGGCCAGTTTTTCTCCCCAGATGCTCCCTGACTGCACAAAAAAACTTAAATTTGAGCTGGAAATATCCATTGTTCTGGAGGTCATGATGGAAAATATCAAACCAACAATGTGTGTGCACTTTTCTGCTGCTTGGTACAGGCTTAAAATAATTGTGTAAGTAAAAAGGACATATAAATATTTTCTACTGCTTTCAAGGGGATAAAGGCAGGGACAAAGTGCCATGTATTTCTCTGTACTGAACATATCAACTGTATTCCCACAAGTCTCCACAGAGCGACAAAGTACAGGTCTGTTCAAATTCAATAGCCCCTTCAGGAGGCTTAGGCTGCCATTCAGTTCGGGCTTAGGGACTGGAGTCTATTTTAAAGGTGGAAAGATGGTGATTATAAAAGGCCATAGGCAAGAAGAAACCCTCTTATAAAGATTACAGAAGGGTCACTTGGAGTCTGATAAACTTGAATGAAGAGCCAGAGGGATTTTTTTTGTTAGACTTGAAAGTGCAGCAAGACTGAAGCTTTATGCCTTTGAAATAAAATGGCAGAAGAGAAGCACAAGATTTTACTTTGGTAGTTCAGGAAATATTAGTCTTGTAAAACAGAGTAGCTATAGATTTTCTTATTACTCTAAACAGCTCTTTTCACTTCCCTGGTGCAGCCTTCATCGCTTATGAGTAAAGATATGTATTAGATCTGTATTTATGAAACACAGTATATCTAACATCTGATAATGTACAGAGAGAGCTAGCAGGGAGGGGAATCAAGTCATGCAGCTGGCACTCAAGTTTGAATTGACACAGATAATCTCTAGTCCCTTTTACCTCTCTTCTACAACAGGCAGGTGAGAAATGTTGTTCAACTGTCTAAGCACCTTGTGGGAAAGAATGCACAGTCAGATATGGATCTGTATTTATTGCCATTAAAGTGGCACACTGGTATCAGCAAGATGGGGGTTGTCACTGGCTGAAAGTAAAATGTCTCTGGGAATGGAAACCCACATCAGCATCACTGGGGACCTGCAGAAGTCGAGAGACACAGATAAGGCCGAGCTACAAAAACCCGGTATGATTTAGTGTCTGTGAAGAATTTCTTGACTGAGGGAAGTGCAAGTATGAAGCAACCATCACAGAGAACTTGAAGCCCAATGTTCCATCCTCTTCTGCTTACCCAGATCCATAAGGAAAAAGATGAGGAGGAGGAGGAGTAGGTGAACATCTTTCAGTGCTCCAGGTAGGGAGATGGCAGCAGCCCTGCTGTTTTGGCCCAAAGTGGAAAGGTTGAGAGCAGTCACACTCTGAAGACAGAGAAGCCCCCATGACATGAAGTCAGGAATGGACCACCTGCCCCTGATTTCAGTAGGGCTGATCTCCAGAACAGCCTATGAGTAAGACAGGTGCAAGGCTAAGTAGGCACCTTTTGCAAGATGAGTTGCTTATGATGGATGTAAATGCAGGTAACTTGTCTTCAGTGAGGCTGGATTGGAAACTTCACTCTTTTTCTAAGCTTTTGTTTGATAGAACAAATTTAGGCTGGAGAAGAGAGTCCCATCAGAAAACAGACCCTGAATGAAACAACTCCACAGCCTCTCTAAGAAGGACTGCAGAACATCATTGCCCACTTCAGTTATGAGCTGAGCTCTTGAGTCAGGACAGGCTTTTCAAGCACCTGAGGCACTCTGAGAAACTGCAGCAGTGAAGAGGGGAGGGGAACAGCAACGGGGAGGAGTGGGAATTTTGGAAAAGAGAAGCAGCAAAGCAAGAACTAAAAGCAGGAGACAGATGGTATGAAGCTGTGTCAAAGGGGAAGTGGGAAGGTGCAAAAGGGGAATATAGGAAGTGGGGACAGTTTGCAGCCCAGTCAGGCTGAAGCAAATTAATGTTTACCCTGGTAGGCACCCAATTCACAGAGAAAAGTTCTCGTGGCCACTTAGGACTGCCTGAGAGAGAAGCCACATCAAAAAATCCAGGGTGATGAGAAGACATGCTGTGACCATGTCCTGTGTGTGCCAAGAAATGAGCCCTGTGCTGCCTCCATGAAAGAACCCTCCCTGCTATTCTGTCTGTGCTGAAGGATAAGCCTCCTGCTCAGCTCCTGCCCTCCTGTACAGGGCTGTGATGTGCAAGCATCACTTCTGAAAGAGTACACTGACTTCCATTATACTTGAGGGGGCAGAACACCACAGAAAGAGAGGGAGGAATAGGTGGTCCTCACTGCTTTGGATCCTGGTGGAGGAAAAGCAGCATCATGCATTTCATCCCTGCTCTGCAGTCTCACAGGGGTGCCATGCAAACCTGGGTGGCTCTGAGGTAACCCAGCTCAGGACCCTGAAAGCCTCCCAGAACAAAAGTGTCTCACTGAGCAATTAATTCCCATTAGCACCTCCCTCAAACTCAGCAGTGGGAACAAGAAACCCCAGATGTGTGCCCTGCTGCACATGCTAAAGGAAACTCATGTCAAGAGCACCTCTTGGTGGTGTGAGAGGACATCAGAGCAGCAGCAACACATTTGTGTATGCTCAATCCAGGGTTATGCTGCAGATTCCTTCCTTTTCCTGCAGCATGTACAAATGAAAGCTTTTAATGCAGCAGGTGCCAGTTGTTCTTAAGAGTGATTATTGTATGTATTATTTGAGTGTAATGTCCCATTATTAAATAATCCCATTTAATCCCATTTAAATGTGATGGAAAGAAACATCCTGAAAGCTTTTATGTGGATCCCTGTTTTCCCTCCACAGAGGCACTGGTGAAGGAAGGATGTTTATAGATTCACAGCACAGACTTCTGACTGGACAAGAACTGACTGTCCATTGCAGCTGCAGGGAATTATCTTCCAAGAGTAATTTGCCCAGAAATGGGCTCTTGCCAGGACTTCATAGCTCATTGCTGGACATGTAGATTTACAGTGTCTTTGACATGGGGCCCACCTCTATGTGGGTTCTTCACAACAATCCCTCTTCCCTGACCAATTAAACTGGTCTTCTCCAGTCCCTTCCACACTGCCAGTCCCACAGGCCCATATGCCAGACTACCAGGACAAAGGCAAACACTGGTGTTCAGGTGTTCAGCAGGTTGGTGGTCCTTGTTCATCCCTGCCACCAGGTCCTAGAATGGTTTTTGTATTTCCACCAGAAGCATTCTCTAGAGCCTGATACATCTACTTCTGAGCTCATATATTCTGTGTCTGCCTGTCCTTTCCAGCTCCCCTCTGTAAAAGCCTTTGTCCCTCTCTCATGTCCCTCTCTGACCTGTATTCCTGTGTCCATTCCTGCTCTCACTTGCAGAGGTGTCAGTGGATTTCCTTCCTCCCCTTTCCTTACCACCCACAGAGGGAACACCTCATACAGCTGGTCACTTTGTGCTTCTGAAACGGTGGCCAGACTTGGAGACATTCCATGTTTGAAGGTTTCTGGGCTGTAGCCAGTGCTGAGTGACAGCTGGGAGCGCTCTCCTCCAGAGCAGGTCAGTCCCAACAGCCTCCTGTGGCTGCAGCAGCACAAAGGTCATCAGCCTTTGGAGAAACACTTGACTCAGAGTTCCTTCCTTCAGGAACATCCCAGCTGCAAACCCACTGTTCTTGCTCCAACCGGCCTGCTGGCAAAGCCTGGAAAATTTTAATTAATTCTGTGCCTCCATATCCCATCTTCTGTAAAAACCATCTCCTGCCCATCCACTCATGAGTTCAGGCTGGAGCATGCAGATGTGCACACATGCACTCTTTTCAAGGCTTAATGTTGCATGGGAGGAGAAGGAAGGAAGGAAGGAAGAGGCAGATCCTCATTTCAATAATGGAAAGAAAGGAATAGAGCTTCCCGGGATCATTCTGCTCTTGTGTCTTCTTTCTTAGGGTGATTGCTTTCTTCTTCTTGACGCTTAGCTCTAAAAGTCTTTTCTTTTCTGTGGACAATGAGGACTGCCTGAGAGAGTTGGAGTTGTTCATTTTGAAGAAGAAAAGGATGTACCAGTTGTCTGGGCAGGTAAGGAAGTGCAGCAACACATTATCCACACAGGAGAGGAGGAACAGAGCAGCCATTGGGTCGCAGCTGCTCCCTAGAGGCTTCATGACTTCGCTGAAGTATTGAAGAGAAGTATTGCTCCTTGTGATATTTCACCATTGAGACTTAGGGGCACCGGGAAGACCTGAAAAACCTTCATTACCCCTCATCACCCCAGTACTCCCACTTCGGGTTACCTTCCCAACACCTCCTCAAAGCTTGGATGATAAAGGAGGGGGGAGAAAACCCACCCTTCAGAAACATTCTCACCCCACTTCTAACCCTTGTTCAGCTCCCCTGAAAAAGCAGTTTGGTGCCCCCCACCGTTCCTTGGGATGAGGTGGAAAGGGAGTGGGGAAACACGAAGGGAGAACAAGAAATATTACAGCAGTCATCACCCCTACCGAGAAGTCACGGCTGCTCCGCCTTCAGCCAGCGGCCTCTGCCACAGAGCTGTGGCTGCGGTGGAGGGGCGGAGGGACCCGAGGGTGATCGCCGGGTGAAGAAGTTCCTTCTTCCACTTCCTCCCTCCTTGCAACCTGCTGTTCTGATACTCACATTTGCCCATCCTTCCCTGCTGTTCGCCTTGGCCTGACTTCCCTTTGCCTCAGGCACCGTTCTCCGCCACGGGTCCAGAGCCATGCAAGCCATCAAGTGTGTGGTGGTGGGAGATGGGTACGTACCCCGTGGGATTGCTGCGGGTGTGGGGCGGGACAGGCTGTGCCAAGGGCCACGGGAAAGGTGGGTGCGTGGTGAAACCTCCCCGCTTTGCTGCTGACCTCCTGCAGGCTTGCTGCTGCAGACCTGCTCGCTCCTCTCTCCCCGGGACAAGGGATCTTCCTCTGGGAGAGCGTCAAGAAGTGGGCATTTCGCAGGGCATCTGCGTGGAAATGGTGATCGTGCATCCGCATTCCCATCTGCATCCACGGGAAGCAGAGCAGCTCTGTCCCATGTGCAGGAGGTGATGGTGTTCCTGCCAAATTCAGCCTGGAGGCAGGAGTTAGATTTAAAACCCATGAGGTGCAAGTGCTCTCCTGCAGGTGAATGGCTCCTTGAAAGCCGTGTGCTCACTGGGAACGACTGGGAGAGGGCATGGCACTCTGGTCTTGGCCAGGTGTCTGTCAGGGTCTCTGTGTTCAGCTTTTCTCAGCTGGTCAGCTTTGTATTGGGGTGTGGTGGGGACTGCTGGCAAGGGGCCTCTGTGGCACACGGTGAAGAAGCACTTTCCACTGGGATAGGCACAATATAGGACACTTTGGGAGTGGGAGCTAACCAAACCTTGCCTTCACAACATGGTGGCTTCTCTGCCCATGTCCCCTGATGCCTGGAAATGGCCTGATCCAAGCCATCAATGGGTTAAGCAGTCATCACTGCCTGGGGCAGGAAGGATAGAGTGGACAGAGCGTCTTCTTGCCCTGTGTGATGAGTAAATACAAGGGAGGGAAGGAGGAGAGCCTGTGCTTGGAACGGAGTAGCTTAATTCCTTTCTACCTAGAAGCTGGCCAGACTTATCTGGGGCAGCTCTAAGGTAGCAGATGAAGAGACATTTAGAGCAGTGCTGCTGCTCCCCACAGTCACTTCCTCCTTTAGACCTCGCCTGGGAAAGAAGATGTCTGCACACATAACAGTACATGTCAGACATGTTCTCAGGGGCCAGGGGAGCAGGGAAGAGGAAAAACAGAGCCCCAAATGAAAAACTGTAACCTCTAAGAAAGGTCCCCTGAAGGCTCTAAGCTGGAGCTGTATGAACAACTCCACTGGGTATTTATCTGTTACCCAGTTCCCCACCCCCCAGTTTGCCCTTCACACACAGCACCAACTCTGTAGCCTTCCCTCAAGGCAGCAGCCCCCTCACATCATGGTAAACCCCACATGTCCTGTGTTACTGACAGGTAAGGCTTTATAAAGCCTTGCCTATTGCTGACAGTCCTGCTCTCAACCCCTAGGACCTCAATTCCTCTTAAATGTATTCTGTCTTGTTACTTTGCTTCTCTGTGCACTGCACACTCTGTACACCTCTCACCATCTTGCAACACAGCCCCCATTGCTCTGAGCTCTTGGTTCACCAGCCCTCAGCTCCCTCCCAGCCATGCCAACGATGTCACCCTCTTGGCTCAACCCTAACACAGGACCTTCTCCTACCACTCAGCTCACGTGTTGTCCCACTGCTCTTCTCCCCCCATATCCCCTCCAGCACACATCACTGACCTCTTAACATGCCCTGGCTTCAGTCACAGGAGCCTGCAGGTGCCTAACTAACCTCATCTCTGTGCTGCTGTAAGCTTCACCCCTTCTCTGACCTGTTTGCACAGCTCTCTGTTCAACCACACCGATTCAGAACCTCCCCCTCTTCCATGACCGATCCACTCACAGGCCCAAGGATCTCCTGAGGCATTTCCTACAGAGCTTCACCTCCCTCAATAACTCCGTGATAAGAAGGAAACAAGGCACCTGGGGAAAGAGCAGGGATTGAGAGAGGAGGATCTAAGAGTGGGGGGTGACAGGAGAAAGAAACAAATGTCAGAGCATGCTGAAAAGCTCAGTTTCCTCCTCAGCTGCCCCACAGTCCAGCAAGAGAGGCAGGTGCCTTGAGGCCAGGGTGCCTGTCAAGGGCACACAAAAGGGCAGAGCTGCAGCCCTGTGGCAGTGTTCTCTGCAGGTACAGCTGAGATGGTCTGATAATCCCCAGCAGCAGAATTCCAGCCTTTGCCCAGGAAACCCCTCGCTCCTCCTGGGCTGTGCTACTTAAAGCAGGTTGCTGTCACCACCTCCATTTCCTCTGTTCTGTAACTGAAACATCTCCAAGCTTTGCCAGGCCACACAAACCTGAGAAACTGCATCCCAGCAGGGGAAAGATTTTCTCTCCAACACCTGTCTTGGCTGCTTTATTTTCTTCCAATTTCTCTGCTCTTCTTTCCCTCAGGCTTCAGCCTGCCCACACCACCTCCTTCCCCCACCTGATAGCCTTATTGCTCCTTATCCCAACAATGCTCCAGCCCAGTCTGGACTGTGCAGCTACCTTGCACTCCACCCTGCTGCAGCAGGCTGTGGGGGAGGCTGAGGGGAGAGGAAGCACAAGCTTCTAGCTCAGAAACACCACCAGCAGCCTCCATCAGCCATGGACCTTTCTGGCTCCTTACAGCTCTCCGTGCAAGTGTTGCTGCAGCTTACTGTAGATGGGAAAGACTGGGTAAGTCAGGAGAAGCTGCTGCCAGTCCCTGGCCACAGCTCCTGAAGAGCAGGCAGGAGTGGCTGTACTTGAGTGCTGAAGCTGGCATGGCAGCTTTGTCATAGCTGTGAGCCCACAGCACTCTGCATCATGCACTGCAAAACGAGTTCCCACCTCCACCTCGGAGTGGATGTGTTTTAGCTGAGTGATCTCTGTACTAGACCATAAAAACAAGCCTTTGTGCTCAAAGGCAACAAACGTTTCTGAGCAACATCCTGTCTTTCTTCCTGCCGGGTTTCTAACCCATGGTTGTGCACTGTCTGGTCCTGTGGATGTGTTTCTGCTTCCAGGGGTCTCCGGATAGGGCTGGGTTAGAGGTGTGGAAGGATTGCCCCATCTCATCCTAGCAAGACTGCCTGCACTGCCATGAATTCCTGCTATTGTTTTCTTCCTCTTCCAGGGCTGTGGGAAAAACCTGTCTCCTTATCAGCTATACCACCAATGCCTTCCCAGGAGAATACATCCCCACTGTGTGAGTAATGCATGAACAGGGCCTGGAGTGGGTGGGAGGCATGAAAAGCAGGATGTGAGGGGGCACAGTGACCCCTTGTTGTGGGCTCCATGGGTCACAATCTCCATGCCAAGCAGAGGAAAACCAATGAAGGTGTCTCTAACTTTGGATCTGTCACCTTCCACATGAAGCAACCTTACAAAACCCTGGTATAAATGGGATATTTGGGAGAGTCCAGCCGACTCAAAGTCTATCTGCTGGCTAAATGTACAAGTAGCAGAGGGGATCCTGCTGGCCAAAACAAACAAGCACTAGGCTACAACAACTGGGCCACACCCCAGAGAAGGCAGGTGGGTGGACATGGGACCCCACTTCCTTCCCTGTCCAAAGCACTTGCTGTCATTGGAGCAGTCATGGATTCTGCATGGAGCAGAATCACAGAATTGGTTGGAAAAGACCTCTGAGATCCATCCACTACCTAGCACTGCCAAGCCCACTGTTAAATCATGTCCTTTCTAACGTGCAGATGCCATTAACACATTCAAAAGGCCTTTGTGTTGGCTCCTTCCTATCACTGGTCTCCCTTAACCTGGGAAAAAAAGTACCAAAAGGGAAAGGAAATAAAATTTTCTAGGGCGAGGGTAGGAACTTTTCTGTTGCCTTATTATCCTTTTTCTTCTACCAAGACTTTACTCCATGCAATCCTGACAGTTGTTCTAAAATATTTCAAGCTGGGTTGTCAAAGAGTAATGGGACACATTGTTCCCAGTTCCAGCAGGGCTGTTGAGGAGTGCAGCAAACTACAGAGACATAGATTCTTCTTCACTGCTAAGAATAAAACTAGGTTTTGGAACATAGGAGAAAGGCAAGGGCTTGGCTCTAGAGCAGATGCAGCTGTGGGAAGGATACTGAGGAGAAAAATGGGAAAAGAAAACGGTTTGTGAACCTGCATGCAAGGTATCAAAGGTGTAGCTGCAGCCAGGCACCTGTCCAGGACTGCTGGGTGATGGGGAGGAGGTTGATGAGTGAGAATTCCATGAGGTGGAGTTTCACAGGAAACCAGCATCACCCAGGTGAGCTGAGAAGAGGAATCATCACCCTTTGCTCCTGGGTGCACCTAGTGAGCCCCACCTACACCACAGGAAGGGCTCCCTCTTCTCCTGTCTGAGCCATGGCCTATGTCTCTGAATTTCAGGTTTGATAACTATTCTGCCAACGTGATGGTTGACAGCAAGCCTGTAAATCTGGGGCTGTGGGATACTGCTGGACAAGAGGATTACGACAGGCTGAGGCCACTCTCTTACCCGCAGACGGTGGGTCACACTCCATAC